ACAACACTGCTAAAAAGCCAAAGCAACATAAAAAGACAAAAAACAGACAACACACTGAAGCAGATTTTAAAGAGAATRGTGTTTTTATAGTGACAGAAACATGTTCAATAATAGAGAGCTTTGTCTATTTCTATGGTGAAATATAAAATATATATATATATAAATTACAAAAACCAAATGTGGCTCCTATTTCCTAAACATCAAAATCCTGTTTAATCCTACACATCCTAATCCTGTATTWAAAAAAAAAAAGATGTAATGAATGTATTCTCCAGACACACTTAACATCTTGGTTAGAGCCGCTTGTTCAGCCAACATGTCCTCTAAGCTGAAAATCTCCCCAAACCCAAACTAAACTGTGTTTTTCCATCTCAGCTCAACATTTAAATAGTTGTTCAGGATTGGGTTTCACATGGTAGTACAAATACTTTGCACAGTGGTTACACTCAAATGGAGCCCAAACCATAGAAATAAAAAGGGAAAAAAATTGGCTGTGCATGTTTTATGCTAAAAAATGTAGTTTGTTTGTCTTTCTGTGATGACAGCAGACTGCAGCACAAACAGTAAGTGTCTGGACCCCCTCCCGAGCTGCCCACAGCTGCTTCACCCCATCCACAAACAAACAGCCACAATTACACGAGATGAAGAGTGTCCCATTTGACCCGGCGTCGCAGCGAACTGCCAGGTTTTACAACACAAACAGCGAGGAAGAGGCAGAGACAGATCCCGTCCCAAAACACTTCAATCCCATTACAACGGCTGACAGATTTCTGTGTTTACGCACGCTTATTTATGCGTGTTGTAAAAATGGCATCCGGAGCATAAACCTCTTTGTCAAGCTGATTTAATGTAATTTACCACCAAACTCAAGCAAATCACCACAGAGCAGATTCAAACTGTCTTCAGTTGTGTAAAAGTCAGCTGTCATCATTTAGCATCCTGTGGTTCCAAACCCAAAACATTTGGCTCCTGGATAAACTGGGTTTTTCTCACAAATAGGAGTTTTTTTCCCTGTAACTCAACGTGTAATGTATTTAAGATTGAGCCTTTTTTGTTTGAGCTTCCTTTTAGTGCTTTAATTTGATTATACAAACAGACAAAAACAATAAAAGATAAAGTTGCCGTTTTGTGATATAACCTGCAGATGATGGTGCAAAAACACCAAGAGGACACACTATTGCTGAGAAATGTTGATTACTTTAGTGGGTTACATCATGATCGGATTAAAAGTTGATATTAAAACAGAAGTTTTATCAGTCAGATCAGAGGACTTTTACTTCTAAGGTTGGAGGAAAACTTCCATAAAACCCCACAGCTGGAATTCAGCAGAAAACTCTTCTGACTTCTCCTTTTGGCTGAACCTCGCCTCCTCCTCCATTTTTCCCCTTCTCCCCCTGCCCTCTTTGACCTTTTCTCTTCTTCCTGTCCCTTCCCCCATTGCAGCCCACCCCCCACCTTCTTTTTCATCCCCAACTCAGGACTGAAAACACACCAAATGCAGCGAGGGGCCACAAAGCAGCCGTGCCACCCGCTCCTCCCAGACCGAAAGGCCTTTGGTTCTGATTGATCACGCTGCCACTCTAAATTACAGCTGCTTCGGCTRTTGTTGCTCCCAGTTCTCCACGTTTCCCACACTGATAAAACAGGGGAAAAGGCAAGTTTGGTTCTTTTGCACTGAACCATTTTCCCACCCAACCACATAAAATGCTTGTTCGGTTTATTGTTTAAAACCTGTTTGTTTTTTGTATAATGCTGAGTCAACATTCACAGTTTATAGTTTCTTTTCTTTCCTGCCTTTTTTTCTCTCTTTTGCAATCAAACTACTTCAAGTACTGCAAGGACTGTTTTATATGCTACGTTTAGCATTTATTTAATGTTTTGCTACTTTCATCTTTCAGCTATTGTTCTGCTACTTTTGACATTTTGGACAAGACCCAGAAACCAGAGTTACTGTTTGGCTCATTTTGGCTGCTTTTCTGTCAGTTTTAGCTTTTAGCTGCACAGTTCTGCTATACGTTTGGCTTTTAGGACCAGATTAAAAACCAGGAGTGATACTGTTTAGATCAGTGTTTCCCAAAGTTGGGGTCGGGACCCAAAGTGGGGTCCCGAAACATCAAGGTGGGGTCCTGAAAAGATTTTCGGAATAAATTACATTTTTGCCTTAGTTGTTACAAAGGAGTGTGGTTAGTGTATTTAAAATGGATAAATGTAGTATAAAATATTGTTACTATGCCCGTGTTTTGTTGATCTGGTACTTAGGAGAACAGTTCTCTACTACTGTTATTTTATGGGTCAAAAGCTGAAAAGCTTGGGAACCAATGCACTTTGGTTCCCAAAGTTGGGCTTGGGACCCAATTATGGGTCATAAAACACCTTGGATGATCTCCAGAAATCAATTTAAAGGGTAATAAAATAATTGCTGATGTAATATTTTCCCTATAACNATTACAAAAACACAAAATAAGTATAAATAAGTATTTATATTTGTGTACAAGCTGTTTAGATTGTCAAAAAGCCTGTGTTTTAGGGTTATTAACAAAGTTGGTGTACTCAGACCAGTAATATTTGGGGTCACAAGATTTTGCCATGGATATTTTGTGGGTCAGAAGATAAAAAGTTTGGGAACCACTGGTTTAGATTATTTAAGCTACAGTTTTGCCACTTTTGCCTACTAAACTAAAGTTAAAGCTATATCTGCTTCTCTTTTTGTTTAGCTCCAGGTTGACTTACTGTTTTCCTCATTTTACTTTTATAAGCAAGTTTTGCTACTTTTACTGTTTTGCCACTTTTAGCTACTACATTAAGGTTTAAGCTATCATTCTACTTCTTTTATCTTTTAGCTACAGTTTTTCTCATCCCCAACCATCAGATTTATTTATTATTAGTTTTGCTACGATTTGGATCATTTCAGCTTTAGCATCTATTTTATTTAGGAATGTTTTGCCAATTTTGTAGCTTTAGGATTCGTTTTGTCCATTGTAGCCACAGGTTTGCTTCATTTACCTCKCAGTTTTAGCTTCTTTAACAATTTTCCACAAAGCCATTCGGCACTCAGCGTTCACACAAGATTTTTTCATAAAACGTAACCAGTTTTTTTTCTTTTAAATCTCAGTTTCTGTGTTGTTTACACATTCTGGACACAGTGAGAGGCTCTGTGTAACGACTCTGTGAGGAGTTGTGGAGAATTTGGCTTCACGGGAGTTGTCGCTCATAAGCAGGAAACTGCAAATTAGATATGAACATGAAGGCAAAATTCCCAAACCAGGACACAAAATTACAATAAAGGTTGTTTGAGGTTGTCTGTTTTGTTGCATTGCAGAACAAAACAAGATTCCTAATTTTCTGTGGAGTCAGACCTTGTTTTTTAGGTCTTGATAAATAGTTATTTTGCTTACTGAGAGATTTTCAGTTTATATGTGGATRTTTGGTGCTATTTTCCTCTTTGTTCTCAATCCAAAACTTTTTAAACTTTAAGTCACATGTGAATATCAACTTGAAATCACCTTGTTACAAAACTACTTTTATCTCTGTTAAAATTTTAGAGTTATTGTAATTATTTATGTAAAATAGAATAGAAATAGCCTTTATTGTCCGGCAGAGATGAAATTCAGGTGTTACAGCAGCATCAGATACTACAAAAAGGTTTAAAAATGTGCAAAAACAAGATTAAGACTAACAACAATAATATTACTAGTAATAAAATGTCCAAGACTATAGCAAAAAGATACACTGTAGTTATTAATTAAAATAGAAACTAGATGCAGGCAAAGAAAAGGAAAATTTCTAAGTTTTACTTTGCCATGGTCTGCTGTGGCACAATGCTGAGTCAACTCTGAAATTTAAGTTTAGATCATTGGAAGCAAATTATACCCTAAAGAAATAGGTGAATAAAAACTTTTGCACAGTTTATGTTAAATTATTTTCTAATCATTGATTTTGGGCTGCGGTCTTAAAACATTTGCTGTTTTGTTCGATATGTCCAAGTATGGTATGGCTAAGAATAATTTATCCGAATGTGTTAAATAGATAGAGACGAAGTTGTTCTTGTCATAAAGTTTCTGCTGCTACTTTAAAGCTTTTTAGGCTGTTTTCGTTTTACAAATATGTATGAAAATTGGGACTAATATAGCTACCATTATTTAAAGCAGACACACATAAGTGCCTAATAAAAACGAATAAATATCTCACCAGAAAAATCGATTGCTTTGGTGAAATCTCTGGTGTAATGTAATTACTGTAACATACTTTCCTGCGGTAGGGGAAATGAAGAGCCAATCAGGAACGAGTCCTGTAGGAAAACAAACGCGCTGATTGGCTGAGAGGGAGCGTCGGTTTCAAGTCTCCCCCCGCGCTCACTGAAGGGGGGGTGCTGTGAATGGAATGGGCGCCTTGAAACCGGCGGAATGCTCGCGCGGACTCGGAGCAAGGAGAGCGAGCCTCGGGACTTCCAGCCGCCCAGCATGTGAGCTGACGCTCGAAGTGAAGTTTAGCCTGAAAGCCGCTGGGAATATCGGCCTTTTCGTACCTTTTCTCCCCGACTCTTACGTTTCGAAGACACCGGACTCGTTTAGCTTTGCGTTAGCTTGAGGAAAACTGGAGTTGGAGAGCTTTTTGTTTTCTTTTTTCCCCCCACTGCACGGACTGGGAGTGAGAGTGGACTGCTTGGAGTCACTTACAAAGAACATTAAGAAGTCATGACACGACGAACGTTTTTCTTGGATTTATCTAAGTGAAAAAGGAGRAAACTCAGCTCGGGACACACCAAGGTGGATTACTTGGACTGCGAGTTAAGTATTGGGACRATTAAAGCAGGTTTTCTGCTCTTTTGAGCCGTTTTCAAATCAGTTGGATCAAAGTTTTTCCTGTCCCTCCCCCCCTCCTCTTCAACTATGGCGGCGGCCAGGTTCACCAGCGGCTCGGTGTKGCTGCTGTGCGGGATGTGCGGGCTGTTTCTCTCGCCCGCTTCCGCTCAACATTACAACAGCGAAAGTGGGATATCCGTGCCGGAGCACGGCTTCTGCCAGCCCATCTCCATCCCACTCTGCACCGACATCGCCTACAACCAGACCATCATGCCGAACCTCCTGGGCCACACGAACCAGGAGGACGCCGGGCTCGAGGTGCACCAGTTCTACCCGCTGGTGAAGGTCCAGTGCTCCGCGGACCTGAAGTTCTTCCTGTGCTCCATGTACGCCCCGGTGTGCACGGTGCTGGAGCAGGCCATCCCGCCGTGCCGGTCGCTGTGTGAGCGCGCGCGACAAGGGTGCGAAGCCCTGATGAACAAGTTCGGCTTCCAGTGGCCCGAGCGCCTCCGCTGCGAGGGGTTCCCCGTCCACGGCGCCGGTGAGATCTGCGTGGGCCAGAACACGTCCGAGCCCAACAGCCCAGCCTCCGTATCCCCCTACCCTCCTGATCCCGTGACCCTCCCACCCATCGGTGGTCGACCCCCTCACCGTTCTCCCGTAAACAACCAGCCGCACCAGTTCTCCTGCCCACTCAAGCTGGAGGTGCCCCCCTACTTGGGCTACAGATTCATGGGGGTCAAAGACTGCGGGGCCCCATGTGAGCCAACAAAACCAAGTGGAATCATGTATTTCCGCGAGGATGAGGTGAAATTTGGCCGCCTGTGGGTGGGCATCTGGTCCATCCTGTGCTGCGTGAGCACCTTGTTCACGGTTCTCACATATCTGGTGGACATGAGGCGGTTCCGATATCCTGAGCGGCCTATCATCTTCCTGTCTGGGTGCTACTTCATGGTGGCTTTGGCCTACGCCGCCGGGTTCTTCCTGGAGGACAAAGTGGTCTGCGTGGACAGGTTCAAAGTGGACGGCTACAGGACTGTGGCTCAGGGGACCAAAAAGGAGGGCTGCACCATCCTCTTCATGGTGTTGTACTTTTTCGGCATGGCCAGCTCCATCTGGTGGGTGATCCTGTCCCTGACGTGGTTCCTCTCTGCCGGGATGAAGTGGGGCCACGAGGCCATAGAAGCCAACTCCCAGTACTTCCACCTGGCTGCGTGGGCGGTCCCGGCCATCAAGACCATCACCATCCTCGCGATGGGCCAGGTGGACGGAGACGTGCTGACCGGGGTCTGCTTCGTGGGGATCTTCAATGTGGACGCCCTCCGCGGCTTCGTCCTGGCCCCGCTCTTTGTCTACCTGTTCATCGGCACCTCCTTCCTCCTGGCSGGGTTCGTGTCCCTGTTCCGGATCCGCACCATCATGAAGCACGACGGCACCAAGACGGAGAAGCTGGAGAAGCTGATGGTTCGGATCGGCGTGTTCAGCGTGCTCTACACGGTTCCGGCCACCATCGTCATCGCCTGCTACTTCTACGAGCAGGCCTTCAGGGAGCACTGGGAGCGGACCTGGCACATGCAGACCTGCAAGCGCTTCGCCATGCCCTGTCCGGTCCACAACTTCGCCCCCATGACCCCGGACTTTACCGTGTTCATGATCAAATACCTGATGACCATGATAGTTGGGATCACCTCTGGTTTCTGGGTTTGGTCCGGGAAGACCCTTCAGTCCTGGCGGCGGTTCTACAAGCGCCTCAGCAATGGGAACCATGGGGAGACAACAGTGTGAAGTTTTTATTTGGGATTAAAACGAGGCCACTGATTGGGCTGCACAGTTTATCATCCTGGCAGTGTCAGTGTTCACAAATCACAAAGAACTTGCTTGGACTGTAAATCACAGGCCCATTTATTTCAAGAATCATGAATTCATTTTCTGCCTAATGTGGTTGATCTAACAGACTCACCAGCCTTGACGCCCACACCTGATGATTGTGATGACAGTGAGGAAAATGTGGGTTTATCACAACTCATATATATTACACAATATTCTATGTTTTCCTGCTTTAGTGCAGCCTTAGCCACTGATGTTTTGTGAACACAACAATGAAAATGAGGTCAGATAGCTTTCATTTCAACACTCCTAGCTGTGTTTTTTTTTTTTTTTTTTTTTATTTCCTGTCCAACCCCCTCCAAAGTTTCCTAGTGGACTAACTGAGGCGTCAAGCAGTTTGTCTTAACTGCAGTGAGGAAAAAGGTCAAAGGTTTATCCCCTGGAACAAACTGGGAAATGGCGCCGAGACTAAACATAAATTACTCTGCCTCTTAGTTGGAGACTGGGAAGCTTTAAAACGTTTTAGACCCACGAGTTTGTGTTTATGTGCCGAAAGGGATGTTTTCGCCCATGCCTGTCTGCCTGTTAGCAAAATATCTCATGACCAAGAGACTGGATTTGAACTAAACATCCAGAAGGTGATCATTGGATGTAGATTTGATTAGCATTCGGAGCAGCCTTAAGAAATCACAAAAATAAGAGCTGTGCTGGCAAAATTGAGTCACAATATTTGTTTCACTGTTGAGTTTATGTTGGCAAATTCTTCGTACCAAAACCCTTAAATTGATATATATTTTAGCTAAAATTAGATTTATCACCTGGCTAGCCACAACCTACTTTTGTTTACAAAGGTGTTTGTTTAAAAACGGTGTTTGTTTAAAAACGGTGTTTTCTGGTGTGATGTCATCAGGAATTCCAGCCTGTGAGGTAAAGGATTATTTCTAAAGACTTATTTGTTAGAAAACATTCATTTCAATGTAGATTTTCTGTTTTAGTTACTGGGATTGTTATATGGTGTCTTTATGAACTCATTTTTACACAAATCTAAGCAAAAATCTGTATAATTTTGACTCATTTTGCCAGCACGGGTCGTTAATGGCTTCACCTTTTCAAGCCTTGCAGATTTTTAGAAAAGAAATGGTAGTAGCTGACAGTCATCCTAAACACTTGAACCACTAACGAATCTTGCAATATCACGAGATTGAGCATAATCGTTAATTTTCATGATTTGACCAACGTGGCTTCATTTTTTTTCTCTTTTTAGTTTAAAACTCTGGTGTAAAAGGCGGCGGACGACGTTTAAAACTACTCTTTTTGTTTGTTTTTAATGTTCCAGACTGATGAATTGGTGGTTCCTGTTCTGAATGTTCACTCCGAAGATGAATGAAGTTTTTTACTGGTTTGCACAGTTATTCTTATATAAAAAATATCTATATAAATATATACTGTTACACTACATGATGACCTGGAACTTGCATTTTTATGGAGACCACACACACACACACACACATTTGAGACACAGCAGCTCATTGTTGGTCTCTGTGTGTGGTCTCTTTTACCCATCAAAAAGACTTCTTTTTAATCTTTTAAGACACCCAAAGCACCATTTCAGTGATCCACATTTAATCCGTGGGAGTACAAACGCTAAGATGTTATTTCATCCTGGATTGAGTYGACTGTACGAGTTTACACACGTTTATTCTGTTCGGTGCGACCCGATTTGCCTTACTTTAAAAAAAAAAATCACATGAAGTGTTATGTGTCTTTACAAGCAGACTGAACTTTTATTATTATTATTTGTTTTAGTATTCAGGCTACTTTTACAGAAGCAGAGAAAGAAACTGCATGTTTTCTCTGCTGTCTTTTTTTAAATGTTTGATGTTCTGTGTTGGAGAAATGTCAAGAAGGTCAGATGTCTGAGGGGGCAGAATCACCTCAGTGTATAAAGTTGGTTTTGTTTATAACAGAAATAGGACAACGAATCACAGTTTAACCAGACGGCGAGGGGGGAAAGTGATTATTTTTCTAAATCTAACTTTTAGCCTTTTAATACAGGAGAGAAAACTACGTGTCTTTATTAAAACGTGATTCATCATTACTGCTTGCGGTTCGCTCGGCTGTTTGAAACGGGAGATTTTCACCTCTCAGACTAAACAATAAAATTAGGATTTTTGTGCCAAGGCTGAGTCAGCTGCCAGGACCTTCTGTTTCTCGTCATGTAGCACGTCGTCCCGCATGCTTCACTTATAAGTAATGAATGGAGGTACTCTGCAGCGCTGGGGGAACAGCTCACAGCATTATGACCTTCCACAGAGTTGGCATTGTGGTTAATTTAATTTCTAACTCTGCCGTTAATGCTAAAACAAAATGTGCGTACTTTATACCCATCTTCGTTCTGTATTTAAAAGCGGTTTGTATATAAAACCGTGCCTTTTTCCTTGTTTCTCCCCCCCCACATGGATGTGCTACATACCTCAAGCTCAGAAAGCAAGTGTAAATGTCTTTGCATCCGGTTTTTACCAAACAACGTAATCCTGTTTCTGTCTGGAGGCAGCTGAAATCTGCCCGTGTCAAAATAAAATACCAGACTGAATTGTTTATTATTTTGTTTTCAGAAGGAAAACTGGTGATTTTTTTTTTATTTTTTACTAGAACATATGCAAACCAGCAAGAAAACAGACTGTTTTTAAATCAAATTGTATTTATGGGGGATGCTCATGTTTGTGTCTTTTTTTTACTTGTATTTTTTTAAAATGAGATAAGCCCATTGTACGTGTACAGCTTGAATAAAAGTGTTAAAGTTTGTAATCTGTTGTTTGTTTTCGGTTCAGCTCGAGTTGATAAAACAGCTCAGGTGCAGTTGGAGGTGTTTTGTGAACATATCTGCTGTTTGTTGTTAAATAAGTTCACATCTGCACATTTTTTTACTTAAACTGTAGCTTTATTATATGCAGGTTCTGAGAATAATCTTATTCTTTCTTTATCAAGGTTTAGTAAGATGTTTGACACTTAAGATGCTGTGACATTATTCCCTTCTGCTCCTCAGCATCTATATTCTACAAATGTTTGACCTGAAATCTGTTKAATACCAGAAAACAGCTTCTCTGTAAACCACAAACACAATTTAAGAGAAGTTTTTCATATAAATAGTGATAACACCTTAAAAATATTCTTGGGATAAACAAACACTATAAACCTCAACACTAAAGAAAACACAAAAGTGGACAAGTTTTAGTAAAAAAACGTAGTTTTAATCAACGCTGCAATTAACTTTAATGCTATCCTATCTGCTCCYGTTCATTTCCAGCTAAATATGATCTTTAAATCTTTTTTTACATTTATCATTATTTTTTGTACATGTATATTTCAAACCATGTTTCTAGATATTTTCTTAATTGTATACTTTTAATAAGAATAAATACTAGAAAAACATGGTCACCCATCAGATTATTGCATCAGTTGAAATGATAGAAATTTTACAATTTGATTGATCACAATATCTGACAGGTTATATGAGACTTATTCAATCAAAATTTGTTAAGAGAGTTATAATCTCAAGGGAATAGAGAGTACATCAGTTCAAGGAAAAAGACTGGAATAATCTTAAATTTGATATTAAAACTGCCTGAACAATGTGTATTTTGAAGAAAAGAGTTTGTTCGAAGAAATACAATACGGCATAGTATGTGTTGACATGAGTTGCATGGTCGGTACAAAGGGCATGAGTTAAAATTTTTACTATTAAAAGTTTCTTTTAAAAACTGGAATAGAAGATGGTATTTTGAACAAATGTTACAAATGTGTTCATTCCATCCAATATATTTACAAAATACACAACTATAAATGCACGTTAGAGGTTTCCCTGCTTTGACACACCTGATTCAGATGGCTGCAGTTCAACAAAAGCCTGTTAATCAGTTATTACTATAAATAAGCTGTGTTGAAGCAGGAAAACATCTCAAACGTGCAGGGCAGTGTTCCTTGAGGACCAGGGTTGAAAAACACTGCATTACAGGGACAAAGACACACAACTATCCACACTCTCTGTTTCCCCTTGATTCACACAGAAACTCTGGACTAAGAACCCTCCACTGCTGCACAGAGTTCAAATGACTTATTAGTAATAATGACTTATATCTGCCACAGTACATTAGAATTATCATGAGGAATCTTTAACATTAAGATTAGACAGTAATTAGACAGTCAAATATTCACATGTATAAAT